AAAGTCAATGTTATAGTTGGGACCTCTCATTTTCCAACATCAAAAGTCAATGTGATAGATGGAACCTCTGATTTACCAACATCAAAAGTCAATGTTATAGATGGAACCTCTCATTTACCAACATCAAAAGTGAATGTTATAGATGGAACCTCTCATTTACCAACATCAAAAGTCAATGATATAGATGGGACAACTCATTTACCAACATCAAAAGTCAATGTTATAGACTGAACCTCTCATTTATCAACATCAAAAGTCAATGTTATAGATGGAACCTCTCATTTACCAACATCAAAAGTCGATGTTATAGATGGGACCTCTCATTTACCAACATCATAAGTTAATGTTATTGATGGGACATCCCATTTGCCAATATCAAAAGTCAATGTTATAGATGGGACCTCTAATTTACCAACATCAAAAGTCAATGTTATAGTTAGGACCTCTCATTTACCAACATCAAAAGTCAATGTTATAGACTGAACCTCTCATTTATCAACATCAAAAGTCAATGTTATAGATGGAACCTCTCATTTACCAACATCAAAAGTCGATGTTATAGATGGGACCTCTCATTTACCAACATCAAAAGTCGATGTTATAGATGGAACCTCTCATTTACCAACATCATAAGTTAATGTTATTGATGGGACATCCCATTTGCCAACATCAAAAGTCAATGTTATAGATGGGACCTCTTATTTACCAACATCATAAGTTAATGTTATAGATGTGACCTCCCATTTACCACCATCAAAAGTCAATTGTATAGATGGGACCTCTCATTTGCCAACATCATAAGTAAATGTTATAGATGGGACCTCTCATTTACCAACAACAAAAGTCAATTGTATAGATGGGACCTCCCTTTTACCAACATCAAAATTCATTGTTATAGATGGGACCTCTCATTTACCAACATCAAAAGTCAATGTTATAGATGGGACCTCTCATTTACCAACAACAAAAGTCAATTGTATAGATGGGACCTCCCTTTTACCAACATCAAAATTCATTGTTATAGATGGGACCTCTCATTTACCAACATCAAAAGTCAACGTTATAGATAGGACCTTATATTTACCACCACCAAAAGTCGATGTTATAGATGGGACCTCTCATTTACCAACATCAAAAGTCAATGTTATAGATGGGACCTCCCATTTACCACCATAAAAAGTCGATGTTATAGATGGGACCTCTCATTTACCAACATCAAAAGTCAATGGTATAGATGGGACCTCTCATTTGCCAACATCATAAGTTAATGTTATAGATAGGACCTCTCATTTACCAACATCAAAAGTCAATGCCGTTTTCCAAGCACTCCCTCTGTTCCGATACAAAATTTTTAAGCCTTCTTATAATTCACTCTTTTCGTTTCATGCTAGCGGCATGGGTGGACGCCAATGTTGTTACAAATTTCTTTATTGAATTGCATGATGGGAGATAACGTGTCGTTGAGGTTTTGTACTCGGAGTAGGGGAGATAACTCGAAGTATGGCATGTTTTGAAGCTATTACAGTATTTGAAACAAAAAGGCCGTTGACAATATGCTGTTTTTTCGTCGCCACTCAATGCATTTGTACAGAAGGACTTTAACAAACACCAATAAAATCTGGATATTTCCAAACAACTCGAGGTAGAAACCAGTGAAACATTGGCCAACACTTAGAAGCTGTACTTAAACCCTTAGTTTGCTGTATTTTATATATTATAAATATAAAAGTGTGTGCTTGCAGATGTTAATATGAATTGTATAAGTTTTAGCGATTTAAAAGTAACAGAATTGGTACGATATATATTTTGTTTCTTGCTGCAATGGCTTTGTTTGTCTAACTTATTTATCTTTTAAACATCTATTGCAGCAATATTTATTATAATATATCATATAATGCGTATGTATATTTTCTGTGTATTTATTTGGAGAGCGCAATATACACTCTAACCGCAGTACGGCTTTTACAGTTTCAAAAAATTAGGCTTCTTCTAAATGTCAATGATTCGGAGACATACATCAATATTTACATTCTGTGTTTCATTTGCCTATATGTCGTAAGTAAACCAAATTCCAGTATATGAGACTGTATACTGCAATTTACAGTGATTCGGTCAGTGTAGGAACATACATGGCCACCAGATACTTTCGGTATCAATAGGCCTATAGTCAGAGAACTTTCTAGGTTCGTTAGCAGTTAGCAATGTAGGTCATCGCAAAAAATAAAGCAACTTGACAAATTATGACAATATAAATTTATAATAAGATGTGTAGGTACCACAAAAATTATTGTAAGAGCCATTCTAGAAACGAAATTACCAAGTTTGTCAACGTCATCACACAGGGGCTCGGTTTCGAGATTTTGAGTTATGCATAACATCGGTGAATAACCACAACGCTAAAATTCTGCATTTATAAAACCTTGTAAAAGTTGAGGGTATCGACAAGGTTTAAGAATGTGTATAAATACTTTTTAAGTGCTGTTGTTCTTCAGTGATGTCATTCATTAATCAAAATCACGAAACCGAGCCCCTGTGAGTGTCGTCTGCTAGCGATGCTAATCTGACCGATTAGACATGGAATCTGTTTCAAACGAAGTGTCCTTGGAATCATTACCACCTACTGAAAGGACCACTTTAATTAAAAATGTCCGAGTAGGTATGCTTCTGAAAGTAACGTAATAGTCCAGTAGATAGAAACATAAGCGTTTCCGAGGAAACAATCAAGTCCGTTCAGCGCCGCAGCACTTCCAAATACATGTAATCTATCAATGCACGAAAAACAGCTTTAATTTTAAACAAGCAGAAGTTATGCAATTATTAACAATTTTTCAAAATATACACACTCATATGAAATAATAAAGTTAAGTTCATACCATTTTATATTCGTATTTTTATATTCATTTTATATTTACATTTACATGTATGTAGTTTGTATTGTATAGTATCTGAAGCAAAAATACGTTTGAATTTCCCGCAAAGGAAATCTTTGCGGTGTCTTTGCAATGACACGAGGGACTATATTATTTTTCTGGAAAATTCGGCTGTTCTGGAATTTGAACTTACTGACCTCACTTATATGATAAGCGGGAAATTCAAACGTATTTTTGCTTCAGTTACTATACAATACAAACTACATACATGTAAATGTAAATATAAGCATTGAACTGTAACCAGATGCAGTATACAGTCGATATGAATGCAATTTGAGTGACAAATAAATATTCATGTCGCCCGACATTCTATTTATCTGTCATCCAAATTGCCTTCATATCGACTGTATACTACATCTGGTAACAGTTCAATGGTTAAATATACACGTTACACATATATATTGCTAAATCGTATTTTATACTGCACTATTCGCATTCAAGCAATCTTGACTTGATTATTTTAATCTCAGATTCAATCATTCAATACCAATATACCCATTTCTTTTATAACAAATCGACAGTGGTCTAGATAGAGAATTGGACTACATCGTTACGGATCTGACTATGATTACTGATTTCCAGATGCAGCATTCTATCAAATGAAAGATATTATTGAGGGAAAATATATCATTGAATCATTTCTTTATTCTTTATTGTCTGTGCATGTGTGTACAGTGTCCATATTGGCAACACGGTCCTATGCGAAAAAGCCCTCTGTTGTATTTGCAACTTATGGGGCCGCAAGGCCTAAGGAATTAGAACATTGACCTCTGACCCGGATGATGATCTCTGGAGCACCATTGATGTTATGTTCAAATTTCGATTATTTTTTCCTTAGATCAGCCTAAACTTTATTGATGATTTTTTTAACGAAATCCAATGTAACAATGAAACATTTTGTCGAATCAATGGTAATCTTAGTGTACATACATTGTAAAAGTCAATATACTGACCAGTCCCGTTTTCACAGCTGGCCTTCAATAATTGGTGCTCGTCCGTTGTCACGCGCTGTAATGTTATGTGCTTAGTGCCAGCAATTCCATCTGGGGCACCTACGTAAAGGTACGGCCTTAATTAATCACAGCGGGAAGCGCGCCATACCATGGCCCTCCTAAGCAGAAATGCAAACATATGGCGGCGCCGATTCGGAGCTGCCGTCGGGCTCGGGTTACGGGAGTGCAATGTTTGAAACACTGTGTACATAGAAAGATAGAACGCTCAATGACCTTTTTCACAGAAGTTACGATCTCCTGTTGTATAATTAGAAGCGCGTGCAGAGCGCGTGTACCTAAGACAGCGGTGTGTGATTTTCAAGAGCATTGTGGATGCAGTATAGGAACAAAATGGCGACTACTTCGGACGTGCTTCTCCGGTACGGGGATGATGCATATAATGTAAAAGATTTTGACATCGCTGCTAGCTTTTATTCGTCCGCAGCTACTCAAAATGTTGTTTCTGATTATTCAGAAATTCTCAAAAAGAGATCTAAATGCTATTATAAGACTGGGAAGTACGCGCGAGCATTCGATGACATTGTAGAAATTTTGAAAATATGGCCGTCATGGACAGAAGGATACATTTACGCGGGAAGTTGTCTTACATACCTTAAGGACCTAAAGAATGCCATGTTGATGTACACACGTGGATTAAATTTGGATCATGGGAATGAAGTTATTCAGAAAGGTTTGCTCAATGTCAAGGCTAAACTGTCGGAGAATGGCGGGACCACGTATGACCCACTGACCCTCTGTACACAGGACGCGTACCCGGGGGACGAGGAACTTGTCAAAATGGAACAGACGAAACTAGATAAAATTGGATCAGTTGAAATTCCAGAATTTTTGAACGTTCCAGACACACTAAAACTTAGAGGCTTGATACAGAGTGTTTGTAAACACAAAGAGGACGGGGATTATAATCTCGCAGAATCGTCCTTGGTTGCTGCCATTCGTGAGGATGCAGATAACTACAGTCTTTGCCACGTACTAGCAGAGATATTGTACCAAAAAAACAACCACGAAAAGGCTTTTCAATATTGTGAGATGATTCCAAAGCATTTGAGATCATTTGACACCTGGATATTAGGAAGTAAGTTTTTGAAGTTTTTTAAGTTACATTGACTGTGATGGTACTATATTTACTACATTGTTATACTATTATCATACATTTTGTCATGCTTGCATATATATTTGATACAGGGCCATATTGTAAACTAGACATTGTCTAAATATGTAACCCTGGTTAAATAAAAGAAATTATTATAATAAGTATTATTATTTTATTCCTTCGTCGGTCGTAGCATCAACTACGTTTGTTTATTTATTTATTTTTGACTTAGATTGATTGCCTGTTGTAATTTGTAATTTAGATTATTCATAGTAGGTTTATCATGAGCATTAGATAAACGTAAGACATCTTACATACACAATATTAATATCGTCACATGTTGAGGGTATGCCTTAGCGATAAAAGTCGACAAAAACCATATGATACTCGATCTTAACAACTTTTATAGAATTGACCTGTTTTCGTTGTATTTTTAGGTAAGATTAGACATGCTTTAAATGCACATGTGTCTGCGGAATTGTGGTTGAGGTATGCCACGAAATTTGGAGGTAAGCGAGCAGAGGAGGCGGCCATGGTGTTCCAGGATGTACGAGTGCAGCGTTTGTATGATCCTTTGACTTCCGGTACAAAAGTAAACATCCGGTTCACAGAGTTTGGTAGAACAATGCATTGTACGGAGGAACTCAACAAAGGAGCATATTTGTTCAGGGAGGAGCCGCTAATAATCGCGCAAACTATCGACACTCTTGATGTTCAGGCTTGTGGACACTGTGGAAAAAGTATGATCACCGCGGAACAATACTTTGGCCAGGGAGTGTTTCGACAGAATAACCAAATCCGAGCTGCAGTCGAAAAGTACTGGCCAAAAAAAACCGTGTACTCGTGTGAAAAATGTGAAACAGAAGTTTACTGTAGCAAGTCGTGTCGCACAGGGGCTTGGGAAGATTATCATCAAATTTTGTGTTCTTCGACGAACAAAAATATTGACAAACTGCACCATGTTTGTCAACAGTTTAAAAAACTTCGTGAAGAGAATTGTCGAGTCTGGGACGGTGTTTGGAATGCTGCGTTTAGTCCCATGACTCTAGCACAGCTCTGGGCAAGGATTATATGTGACGCCAAGAGGATAGCCAAGGCCCGAGGGGGGACAACTCCAGATCGTCGAGATATGGCAAAGGCTAAAGCGAAATATAGAAGGTAGTTTGTCGTTATTACCCAAACCTGCATGAACCAAGCGGTTATCTCCCCTAGTTCGATCCCTGATACACACAATCTTTGGAAAATAACTAATTTAATTCTTGGGGTTGACAGAATTGAAATAACATTCTAGCCGAAATATCAATCTTATCAAGATACTGGATTATTGTATGATTTTCAAACATGAAATTCAGCATAACAAAATATGGTGCATTTTCGATTACGGCAATAATTTCTACAATCAGTCATTACTAAGTTATATTTATCATAATGTTTTCTAACTGTGTTTATCATAGCATTGATGGGTGTCCCTTAAAACATTCGTCTTTCCTAATTGATCAGTTACAAAAAAAGTATTTTAAAATCATGCAGGTAATTGATAAGTGATTATTTCAAATTTACAAAAAACCAGATACCCATTTATATTTTAGAATACGAACCTAAATTTACTCAATTATGAAGTGGTAGGAATAGGAAACGAAGAGACCCAAATGTCCAACCATCCTGATTTTTGAATATGTAGATATGTGTTGCATGGTTTGAACCACCTGTTGTAAATACATGCACTTGTTTGAACTCTGGCCCCTTTTTTTCCAGGCGCTTGGTTCCGTTTTCCCTTTCCCCGTGTGCCTGACCTTTCAGCGTTTTCGACTTCCTGACCTTTGAACCCGTGATTAGCCCTCCACAGAATTCAACATTGAAGATTAAAACCATTTAATATAAGTGTAAGCCAAGTGTTTAAGGTACCTCGCTCGAGGACAATCACACAAGTGATATATCTTCTTTAACAGTTGTTGAAATTGTATCTGTAACATGTAATAGAAATATCTAATTATGACTTGAACCTTTGGCATGGTGAGCTAATGAATTCACAGACGGCTTAACGATGGGGCTTGTAACGATGGCGATATCACCCAAATTCATGAAAATCATTAAACTTTCGTAATAAAGTCAACGTTTGTCCATCCAAATATTGGCATTATGATGAATCTTGACATACTGGGAAAGAGTATAAACTGTTAATGAAAAGAGAAAAAGGACATCAAGACATTTGGCAGTAAGTGAGGTTGAAATTGATTTTTCTTTTTTTATATTAATGACGTAAAAAACATTTAATATCAATTTCGCGGAAATCATTATCTTTAAAACGATCGCAATCGTTACAAGCATTTTGATCCGAAGCATGTTAACATGTTCCTAATTGTAAGGTGCTGTTTTCAATTTTGGTCGTTTGTTTATTCTAAATAATATAGAGTTCATATGAAGCGTGGGGATGTTCCAGGCTTCCCATGGATCCATCTTCGCTGGACCATTGAAATCAAGACTACGGTTAATACTGAAAGATTTACCAAAAGGAAATAATTGGCTTAACCCCGTTTATTCAACATCTTTCTGTTTCTGTTACTTTTCACGCTGCAGCGAAAACGTTAACAGGCAGTTTGCTCGTTATCAAGTGTGCTTCGTCAAAAATACCTTTGCAATAATTTGTCATCTTGAAAATAAGAAATTAGAATATGCGCAATACGTAATTCACAAAAACAAATAGTCATCGGTGTAGATTTATGTTTTAATTGTTTTAACTAAAACTTGACTTTCTTGAGATTCGAAATAACCAGACATTAAAACCGTTAAATGGAAATAATTTTGACATAAAGAACTTTGAATCAACGAGGGTCTAGCGATTACATGTACCTGTTATTGTAGGGCCGTCGTGGTCGAGTGGTTATGCGTCTGACTGTCTATACGATCACTAGCCTTCCACCAATGGGTCGCTGGCTCAGCCTACGTGGAGCGATCCCCAGGCTCCGGGTACTCAAGTTTTCCTCCATCACCAAAACCTGGCACGTCCTTAAATTAGCGTAACAGTTAAGAGGCCGTCAAATCCAACAACCCAAATCAGTTATTTCCTCCGGAGGATTTTTGTTTACATAGGTTTTGCTGTAAAGACATTTATCAGAAGACTATATGTATGGGCAATAATGATTTCCCCTATTTCGTTATAGCCTACTGTGGCTGCATAGTTGTCCAGTTAGAGTATTAAGTTGTAAAGGTATATCTAGATAACCTTACAATAATACCTATATAAATATAAAATAATAACTTTAAAGAACAACCATCCATATTCCACCCTACTATAGGCTGCTCTTTATCATTAGCAGGAGTGTAATATTCCACCCTACTGTAGGCTTCCCTTTATCATTAGTACGAGTGTAAGACTCCACCCTACTGTAGGCTGCTCTTTATCATTAGCACAAGTGTAAGATTCCACCCTACTGTAGGCTGCTCTTTATCAGTAGTACGAGTGTAATATTCCACCCTACTGTAGGCTGCCCTTTATCATTAGTACGAGTGTAATATTCCTCCCTACTGTAGGCTGCCCTTTATCATTAGTACGAGTGTAATATTCCACCCTACTGTAGGCTTCTCTTTATCATTAGCACGAGTGAAAGATTCCACCCTACTGTAGGCCTCCCTTTATCATTAGTACGAGTGTAAGATTCCACCCTACTGTAGGCTTCCCTTTATCATTTCTACGAGTGTAATATTCCACTCTGCTGTAGGCTTCCCTTTATCATTAGTACGAGTGTAAGACTCCACCCTACTGTAGGCTGCTATTTATCATTAGCACAAGTGTAAGATTCCACCCTACTGTAGGCTGCTCTTTATCAGTAGTACGAGTGTAATATTCCACCCTACTGTAGGCTTCCCTTTATCATTTCTACGAGTGTAATATTCCACTCTACTGTAGGCTTCCCTTTATCATTAGTACGAGTGTCAGATTCCACCCTACTGTAGGCTTCCCTTTATCATTAGTACGAGTGTAAGATTCCATCCTTCTGTAGGCTTCCCTTTATCATTAGTAAGAGTGTAAGAGTCCACTCTACTGTAGGCTTCCCTTTATCATTAATACGAGTGTAAGATTCCACCGTACTGTAGGCTGCCCTTTATCATTAGTACGAGTGTAAGATTCCACCCTACTGTAGGCCTCCCTTTATCATTAGTACGAGTGTAAGATTCCATCCTTCTGTAGGCTTCCCTTCATCCTTAGTACGAGTGTAATATTCCATCCTTCTGTAGGCTTCCCTTCATCATTAGTACGAGTGTAATATTCCATCCTTCTGTAGGCTTCCTTTCATCATTAGTACGAGTGTTAGATTCCATCCTACTGTAGGCTGCCCTTTATCATTAGTACGAGTGTAAGATTCCACCCTACTGTAGGCTTCCCTTTATCATTAGAACGAGTGTAAGATTCCATCCTACTGTAGGCTGCTCATTATCATTAGTACGAGTGTAAGATTCCACCCTACTGTAGGCTTCCCTTTATCATTAGAACGAGTGTAAGATTCCACCCTACTGTAGGCTTCACTTTATCATTAGTACGAGTGTAAGATTCCATCCTACTGTAGGCTTCCCTTTATCATTAGTACAAGTGTAATATTCCACCCTACTGTAGGCTTCCCTTTATCATTTGTACAAGTGTAATATTCCATCCTCCTGTAGGCTTCCCTTTATCATTAGTACAGGTGTAAGATTCCACCCTACTGTAGACTTCCCTTTATCATTAGTACGAGTGTAAGATTCCACTCTACTGTAGGCTTCCCTTTATCATTTGTACGAGTGTAATATTCCATCATTCTGTAGGCTTCCCTTTATCATTAGTGCGAGTGTAAGATTCCACCCTACTGTGGGCTTCCCTTTATCATTAGTACGAGTGTAAGATTCCACCCTACTGTAGGCTCCTCTTTATCATTAGTACGAGTGTAATATCCCACCCTACTGTAGGCTTCCCTTTATCATTAGTACGAGTGTAATATTCCACCCTACTGTAGGCTTCCCTTTATCATTAGTACGAGTGTAAGATTCCACTCTACTGTAGGCTTTCCTTTATCATTAGTACAGTGTCAGATTCAACCCTACTGTAGGCTTCCCTTTATCATTAGTACGAGTGTAATATTCCCCCCTACTGTAGGCTTCCCTTTATCATTAGTACGAGTGTAAGAGTCCACTCTACTGTAGGCTTCCCTTTATCATTAATACATGTGTAAGATTCCACCGTACTGTAGGCTGCCCTTTATCATTAGTACGAGTGTAAGATTCCACCCTAATGTAGGCTTCCCTTTATCATTAGTACGAGTGTAAGATTCCACCCTACTGTAGACTTCCCTTTATCATTAGTACGAGTGTAATATTCCATCCTTCTGTAGGCTTCCCTTCATCATTAGTACGAGTGTTAGATTCCATCCTACTGTAGGCTGCTCTTTATCATTAGTACGAGTGTAAGATTCCACCCTACTGTAGGCCTCCCTTTATCATTAGTACGAGTGTAATATTCCACCCTACTGAAGGATTCCCTTTATCATTAGTACGAGTGTAAGATTCCACACTACTGTAGGCTTCCCTTTATCATTAGTACGAGTGTAATATTCCACCCTACTGAAGGATTCCCTTTATCATTAGTACGAGTGTAAGATTCCATCCTACTGTAGGCTGCCCTTTATCATTAGTATGAGTGTAAGATTCCACCCTACTGTAGGCTGCCGTTTATCATTAGTATGAGTGTAAGATTCCACCGTACTGTAGGCTTCCCTTTATCATTAGTACAGGTGTAAGATTCCACCCTACTGTAGACTGCCCTTTATCATTAGTACGAGTGTAAGATACCATCCTACTGTAGGCTTCCCTTTATCATTAGTACGAGTGTAATATTCCACCCTACTGTAGGCTGCCCTTTATCATTAGTATGAGTGTAAGATTCCACCGTACTGTAGGCTTCCCTTTATCATTAGTACAGGTGTAAGATTCCACCCTACTGTAGACTGCCCTTTATCATTAGTACGAGTGTAAGATACCATCCTACTGTAGGCTTCCCTTTATCATTAGTACGAGTGTAATATTCCACCCTACTGTAGGCTGCCCTTTATCATTAGTATGAGTGTAAGATTCCACCGTACTGTAGGCTTCCCTTTATCATTAGTACAGGTGTAAGATTCCACCCTACTGTAGACTGCCCTTTATCATTAGTACGAGTGTAAGATACCATCCTACTGTAGGCTTCCCTTTATCATTAGTACGAGTGTAATATTCCACCCTACTGTAGGCTGCCCTTTATCATTAGTATGAGTGTAAGATTCCACCGTACTGTAGGCTTCCCTTTATCATTAGTACAGGTGTAAGATTCCACCCTACTGTAGACTGCCCTTTATCATTAGTACGAGTGTAAGATACCATCCTACTGTAGGCTTCCCTTTATCATTAGTACGAGTGTAATATTCCACCCTACTGTAGGCTGCCCTTTATCATTAGTATGAGTGTAAGATTCCACCGTACTGTAGGCTTCCCTTTATCATTAGTACAGGTGTAAGATTCCACCCTACTGTAGACTGCCCTTTATCATTAGTACGAGTGTAAGATACCATCCTACTGTAGGCTTCCCTTTATCATTAGTACGAGTGTAATATTCCACCCTACTGTAGGCTGCCCTTTATCATTAGTATGAGTGTAAGATTCCACCGTACTGTAGGCTTCCCTTTATCATTAGTACAGGTGTAAGATTCCACCCTACTGTAGACTGCCCTTTATCATTAGTACGAGTGTAAGATACCATCCTACTGTAGGNCCCTTTATCATTAGTACGAGTGTAAGATTCCACCCTACTGTAGGCTTCCCTTTATCATTAGTACGATTGTAAAATTCCACCCTACTGTAGGCTTCCCTTTATCGTTAGTCCGAGTGTAAGATTCTATCCTACTGTAGGCTTCCCTTTATCATTAGTACGAGTGTAAGATTCCACCCTACTGTAGGCCTCCCTTTATCATTAGTACGAGTGTAATATTCCACCCTACTGTAGGCTTCCCTTTATCATTTGTACGAGTGTAATATTCCATCATTCTGTAGGCTTCCCTTTATCATTAGTACGAGTGTAAGATTCCACCCTACTGTAGGCCTCCCTTTATCATTAGTACGAGTGTAATATTCCTCCCTACTGTAGGCTTCCCTTTATCATTAGTATGAGTGTAAGATTCCATCCTTCTGAAGGCTTCCCTTTATCATTAGTACGAGTGTATGATTCCATCCTTCTGTAGGCTTCCCTTTATCATTAATACGAGTGTAAGATTCCACCCTACTGTAGGCTTCCCTTTATCAATAATACGAGTGTAGTTAGACAGAGCCAACATAAAAGTAAGTAATACTCCAAAGGAACTGTGTTAGTGTGATTTTGTGATAGTTATCCTCAGTGTGGGTTTGTATTTTAGTTTCTCTATATGTTCCCTAATTGTGAAGATTTTCCCAAATTTTCTATCTTGTTGGTCACTAATGCATGAATGATTTATTGGTCGATAACAAATCTTTCAACAAGAATAGAAAAATGAAATTAAAGGAGAGAAAATTCACTTTTTATTTATCCAAACAACTATTCCATAGATACCAACCTGTCTAATTATGCTCTCTCTATTGAACATTTGATGTGTTAGTAATGATAGGAATAAAGATAAAAAAGCTTATGAGTTTGAATCAAGAAACAAAATTCAATAAAGAATTAAATTTTAAAAAAGACATTTTTAATATTTATTCATATATTATTTTGGCTTTTATTACGATTACAGGTTCATTGCCTATGGATCGGCTAGAAATGCCAGGGTAGTGCCTAAAATGATGGCAATCATGCGAGAGATATTCAGCGACCTTGCGGACGGTGTAACCATGGAGATCACAGATAAAGAGTTCGAGGGCAGGTATTTCCAGATCGCGTGCAACATCCAAGAGTTCGCAGACCCTGAGCCTCCATACAAGTCATTCGTGGCAAACGCCAAAGCCAAACCACAGGTTTGGGCTTGCGTTAGTCCCCACATCCGGTCAGAACCTCCAGAGGCGACTTTCACTGGCTTGTTCATGCTTCATGCATGTATGAATCACTCGTGTGACAATAATGCCGAGGTCCGTGACCGCTTTGTGGACGGTAGACCCGGAATAGCACTGCAGACAAAGAAGACCATTGCTGCGGGACAAGAAGTGACGATCTCTTATATAGACAACCAGATGTGTCGTCAGGACCGTCAAAGCTGGTTGTACCAGTCGTACAACTTCTGGTGTATGTGTACAAAGTGTCAGTTTGAGGGAGACGACTCGACTTCTTGCACAAACTGCAAAAAGCAAGCGTCACGTGACAAACTTTTCCCAGCATGCAGTCGGTGTCATCACGCATGGTACTGTTCATCGCATTGCCAGAAAGTGGCATGGAAGAAAGGTCATAAATCGATATGTAACAAATAGGTACGATAAACATGCGTATGTCGCCAAAGTCAGCACAGGACACACATTTGACATTGAGAGTATTCAAGTTCGGCCATGATAATTAGAAAATCTACGATTTCAATCGGACATTTACGAAAACTCCTTTCATTATTACCGGACACGACTAATAATAATATACAGCATTTATATAGCGCCCTATATAATTTGTAAAATTACTCTAAGGCGTAGTGTGTCCGTTTCCATGTGGCGCCAAACTACGTGTAACTACATGTAACTACGTACAATAGCTATAGGTTAATGAAATCTGACAAAATGCATTGTTTTGCAACATGTTCCCAGTTGGTTACTCCGTAGGTAGTACTCATTTTAATTACAGTTTAACAGAAAAATGTTTTTGCTGAGAAATACGTATGACGTTATTAGTTTCCTATCAATCCAAAACCTCTACAATAATAAGTACTTGTGTGATGGTTTCATATTTGACCTACTATGCCGGAATACCTCGTTCATATTAATGTACCTTAATATCATTTTATCACATGGTTACCGGACCCGTCTGTAAATATGTGAGTGCCGTATGTTTCTCTAACGAGTTCTCATTTCGTGTGACTTTCATGAAACGAGCTTTAGACGGTTTCAGAATTCGCAATACGGTCAGTCACAAGGTAACATAAATGTAGATAGAACTGAAAAATCTACATAAACAATCTGAACTTCTAACCATCTCGAAACTTCAGATGATTTTTTTGTTTATATGTGTTTTTATTTATTTCTGTTTCGTAGTATCGATAATAGATTTGTTTAAGTTAAATTGACTGTGTGATATCTTAACCTTTCGTTAAGTCAATTGTCCTTAATACCTCATAGATATTGATGAAATATGTATATTTATCAAAGTGTTTATCCTAGCCATTCCTTGTGTACTTTAAATGATCAGGTAACAGCTCACCATTGTCAATCGACGTTCATTAGAATCATTTACAACGAAGCCAGTGGACATTTGAAATATGACATAACAGGCGAATTCGTTACAGACATTTGTGTGCATGGGATGTTTCAAGCAAAAATTAATCATTCATGTATTTTACTCTTTTCATGTACTAATCTTCGTAAATATTTATCTCCGGATTCCGTGATAATTTACATTATGTCTTAATAACGAGAAAAAAAGCCTCATATGTGCTCACCTGTATTCAGTGTTGTCATCCTTGCAGTAAACGATTCCTGCATCTGCACTTATCGCGAATTCATTTAGCATCAGTTTCAGAATTTAATCTGAAATCGTGATATTTTTCCGGTGTGCATATGTGCGTGTGTGAGGTTTTCGTAGCGTAACGGTAGTGCATACTCCATTGAACGACCCATATGACATTCCCTTCCCATGATACCCCATTTTCTATTACCACGTGATACCTATTTTTTTATTGTCACGTGATACAACATTTTATATTAGTCATGTGATACACTATTTTATAGTGCCAGTTTGATCCCTTTACCGTTAGGTGTGTTGTGAGTTATCATGAGATACAATAAAAGCCTATTGGTAGTTACTCTGGTCATTTTCGTTCTTTTTTATCCCCCATGTTTTCCACTAAACAAGCGGCTGGTTAAACATGCGGTCATTTAACCAGTGAAATGTAAGGTTTTACGGGAAAACGTACACCTTATGATAGAGTTGTCTTGTTCTATAACACCTACTTAACTGAAGTTAATGAAATTATATTTACCTATTGGTAAAACGTTTGGAGATTTTCAGTAAGCTAAAATACAGGTAACGACCTTAAGACGACCTTTGACCTCACACTAATTACAACCCAACAATGCCTTTCGACTGATAAGATACTAGTTGTTATTGTGTATTCGTCATTCTTAGACGGTGGTTATTTTTTATACATATTTACATTCCACTATAAATTCCTACATATACACAACCAGGGGAAATAATGTTCATATGGCTATAATTGTAATTAGTTCAGTATCATTCAAAGGCTTTTCCCACCACCTCGAATAACGCGAATACATCCTAAGAGGCAAACATTTTAGGTGATCCATATCGCATAACCAACTTCATGCCATAGGGATGTAACCGAGTTCATACCAGCATGAATCGTTTACAAATCCGTTCTCTTCAGTGTGACAAAGACATTACCACGGCATGCCACCTTGATACACGACACCTAGTGACGTCACATCCGTCCTCTACAGTGTGACAAAGACATCACCACGGCATGCCACCACATTACACGATACCTAGTGACGACAAATCCGTCCTCTTCAGTGTGACAAAAGACATCACCACGGCATGCCACCATAATACACGACACCTAGTGACGTCACATCCGTCCTCTTCAGTGTGACAAAAGACATCACCACGGCATGCCACCATTATACACGACACCTAGTGACGTCAAATCCGTTCTCTTCAGTGTGACAAAGGCATTACCACGGCATGCCACCTTGATACACGACACCTAGTGACGTCTCATCCGTCCTCTTCAGTGTGACACAGACATCACCACGGCATGCCACCATTATACACGACACCTAGTGACGTCTCATCCGTCCTCTTCAGTGTGACACAGACATCACCACGGCATGCCACCACATTACACGATACCTAGTGACGTTAAATCCGTCCACTACAGTGTGACAAAAGACATCACCACGGCGTGCCACCATAATACACGACACCTAGTGACGTCAAATCCGTTCTCTTCAGTGTGACAAAGGCATTACCACGGCATGCCACCTTGATACACGACACCTAGTGACGTCACATTCGCCCTCTACAGTGTGCCAAAGACATCATCACGGCATGCCACCACAATACACGACACCTAGTGACGACACATCCGTCCTCTACAGTGTGACAAAGGCATCGCCACGGCATGCCACCATTATACACGACACCTAGTGACGTCAAATCCGTTCTCTTCAGTGTGACAAAGCCATTACCACGGCATGCCACCTTGATACACGACACCTAGTGACGTCTCATCCGTCCTCTTCAGTGTGACACAGACATCACCACGGCATGCCACCATGAAACACGACACCCAGTGACGTCACATCCGTCCTCTTCAGTGTGACACAGACATCACCACGGCATGCCACCATAATCCACGACACCTAGTGTCGTCAAATCCGCCCTCTTCAGTGTAACAAAGACATCCCCACGGCATGCTACCACAAGACACGATACCTAGTGACGTCACATTCGTCCTCTTCAGTGTGACAAAGACATCACCACGGCATGCCACAACAATACACGATACCTAGTGACGTCACATTCGCCCTCTTCAGTGTGACAAAGACATCACCACGGCATGCCACTATAATACACGACACCTAGGGACGTAACATCCGTCCTCTTCAGTGTGACAAAGACATCCCCACGGCATGCCACCACAATACACGAAACCTAATGACGTCACATCCGCCCTCTTCAGTGTGACAAAGACATCCCCACGGCATGCCACTATAATACACGACACCTAGGGACGTCACATTCGCCCTCTTCAGTGAGACAAAGACATCACCACGGCATGCCACCACAATACACGATACCTAATGACGTCACATCCGTCCTCTTCAGTGTGACAAAGACATCACACGGCATGCCACCACAATACACGATACCTAGTGACGTCACATTCGTCCTCTTCAGTGTGACAAAGACATCCCCACGGCATGCTACCACAATACACGATACCTAGTGACGTCAAATCCGTCCTCTTCAGTGTGACAAAGACATCACCACGGCATGCCACCACAATACACCATACCTAGTGACGTCACATTGGCATTATAAATGTTACATAAAACTAATTTGAGGAAATGTCAATTCATGCGTTTGGTGTAAAGAAAATCTAAGTTTTCTTTGAATAGTACATGTATAATTTTAACATTATTTAGGTTTAAATGGGAGTATTTCTAATAATAAACTGATAAAAAAATAGTATTCAAAAACAATCAAACAGCTAAGTATGCCCTTTTATACTCCTTTGATGATACAAATAATGTATACTTAGTGTTTGAATACATAGCCTGAGCGCTACTGTTACAATTGAGTGACTACGCACTCGGATATATTTCGCAACACACATTAATTATTCCCGGCTTTTTAATCGACCCTGATTTGATATGAACATTCTCTTCGTTTTAAATATTATTTATTTCATTTAAAATAAAAACAAAACAATCAGATTGAATCAGATATGATAGCTTGGTTTCATCTTTCAAATATGTGTGGGAAACACATCGTGACGTCAGCTGTCCCTCGATCTGTTGCTAATTATGGACCTGCCCTTACCTATCAGAACTGGGGATTTAAAATTGATGTGGAGTAACCATCAATTCTAATAGGTTTTTTATATCAAAACGAAAAAATAAGCAATTAAATGCATAGATGTGCAAACCCACTGGTTTAACTTCAACGTATCGCAGACAAACGTATCATGGTGTGCTATCAATTACGAACCATGCAGTCTGTCTGCGGCACACGTTGCGGCTATACTAGTAGGTTAGCAACAACTTTAGAGTGTATTGCTAATAATATCAATTTCGATGGTTATTTTTGTATCATTTTGCGTGCTGCTATATCCCACTGCTTGTAGAGGAGACTATACGTTGGGGCCCTGCTGAATAAGTTTGTTCTTCTGCCTGGGAACAGTAAAGACACAGACAGAAAACATCTCGATTTCAACATTTCATACCTCTTTCGTCTCCTACATACTTTCTCTTTCTCTCATTCGACGCTTTTCTCCTCGTTTGACCGTAGTTGTTAATTGGGCATAAAAATTCGCACAGAATTAAAGCAAAACAGAGAATTATATTCCTCGGCCTTTGTGGAGTATGTCTGCTAACTAACGGCAGTACAGGGGTTCATTACCTTAGATATCTAGGAGGAATAGTGTAAAAGATAGTTCGAATCAACAATTATCTTAATCATTATTCTAGACATTTGGTATTATATCGTTACAATTATAGCTACGTATATCAACGTTTTATCGCCACGCTCTTTCTGGTCGGTGTTTATCAGGTTTTATCGCCACACTCTGTCTGGTCGGTGTTTACAGGTTTTATCGCA